GGGAGAGAGAGAGAGAGAGAGGAACCCTGATCTCTCTACAAGCTTGAAAGGCTTTTTTTTTTTCTCTTTCATTCTTCATCTTTCATCAAAAATTTTCTCCATTTCTTTCTTCATTTTTTCATTATAATAATATACATATACATATATATATATATATATATATATTATAATAAAGAAAAATTTTTTTTTTATTACCATGTTTGGGTCCATCTCTCTACAGTCATCCAACGCCTCGGGATATAGAGACGGGACGGATGAACAGTTCTTCTCATCGCTGGGGAACACGTAATGCTCTTTATTATCATTATGATTATATAAAAAAATATTTTTCTTTTCTTTTCTTTTCTGCTGCTCGTATAATATCACATGTACATGTACTTGGGGGCCCCTGGTCTAGGCTAACAGGGAACATGCTGTGACTATGGGACGGGGCTTGCATGGTGAGAGGCGATATATTACATATACGATCTTTCATTACATATACGATCTTTTGTCACATATGCCATCTTTTATTACATACGAGTAGTCTGTATGCGATCTTACCTCTGGAAGGGAGGGGGGCGAAATATCGGATGGTTCTCTCTGCCATCTCATTTCTTTCTTTCTCTCTTTTTTTTCCCCTCTTTTTTTTCTCTTTTTTTTCTTTCTTCTCAAACACTAACCACTTACAAGTATTTCAATCATTATTCTTCTTGTACTTTTATCTCATCATATACATATACATATACATTATATACATATCCATACATCTCTCAGCAGGTTCGCCCTCATGCAGGTAGGCAATATTTGCCAATATACGACACCCAAACGTCAGCAGGGCAAGAAGATAGATCATCATCATCACCATCATGCATCAATATATATCCGTAGATCCCGGAACACGGCAAGGACGAGTCGATGCATAGGATACCCTCTCTGGGAGAGCCTCTCAGCACATTGTCAGATCAGCAACCGAGACAACGCGCCACAAGGACAGCGCACAATCATCACCCAGGCGATGGCGTGAGAGACGATTTTGAAAGAGATGGAGGGTAGAGAGAGAAGAATCCGGGTGAGAAGAACCTGTGAGGGAGCGGGAGGGAGACCCTGAGAGAGAGAGAGAGAGAGAGAGAGAGAGAGAGAGAGACCGAGGGGAGAGACAGAGGGGAGAGACGGGCGGACGGAGAGAGAGAGAGAAGAGAGAGAGACAGAGAAAGCAGGGATTCCCGTAGAGCAGACGGACCGGATAACCTTGGCCAAGTAGTCTACATCTGTCTCAGACCTCTCGACAATCCATCCATCTACGTAAATCGTACGGTACTATAACCTCATCTTCCTAGACAGCATGCTATTTCATAGACTGCATACCTTCTGTAGACTCTTTGCGGCTCGACGACAGCTCTTCATAGATTCGGGAATGAATTATTAGTCCTTCTTCCTAACCCAACTTTTGTAACACATGATTATTCTTCTTGTCTCGCTCCTCACGAGGCAGATGGTCCCTCGTTCCCAGAGTGAACATCTGCCTCTTTTCTTCTTCTTTTTCTTCTTCTTGTCCTTTTCTTTCTCCTCTCTCTCTCATTCTTCATTTCCTTTTTTCATTGTTTTGATCTGACAGTCCAATGCAACAATGTTGAACTTTTTTTTTTTTTGAAAAAAAAAAAAGAAAAGAAAAAAAAAACAGAACAAAACCCCAGAAGGAAAGAGAAGTTCTGACAAAAAAATAAAAAAATAGAAATGCCCAGAAAACGCCTGTACCTTTCTCTCCCTCTCCCTCCCCCCCCCCTCGTTCTCTTGTCCCACCTCATCCTGTCCCCTGTCGGTGTGGGGAACGTGGTACATTACTTTTTTTTCTTTTTTCGTCTTCTTCGACTTGGGTGGTGCCAGCCAGTTTCTCTCTCCCCACATAACTCGTATGCACGTCTGCTGCAGGAAATCTCGTATTATAAGCGGTTGGAAGCAGGAGCTGACTGCTGCGGCCTCCCAAGACCGATATTAGCCTCTTCGTCAAAGTTGGCGTCAGTCTTGTCGCTGCTGTCCACGCTGCCGCTCTTCTTGGCGGTGGAATCGCCCGTCGTCGTCTCTCCGTTCAGGACACCGCCATTGCGGCCAGCCACGGCGGCGGCCTCGTCGACCGAACCGGAACCAGAGCCGGTGCCGGTGGTGGTGGTGGCATCCGTCTTATTCGGCGTCTTCTCACCATCGGCATCGGCGCCGGCGTCGTTGGCGTCCTCGGTGATGACGACACGGGTCTTGCCCCATCCGAAGCTGTCCATGTTGTGGACCGAGAAGACGAGGACGGCCAGGTTGAGGAAGGGACCGCACACGGTGAAGATGGCCAGCCCGGCGAGGTACTGGAAGCTCTCGCGCGTGTTGGACGGCAGCCACAGGGCCATGATGATGTAGTAGGTCAGCGGGATGATCATGATGCTGGCAAACGCCAGGATGATCCACCACGGCTGGCTTATGAAGGCGACGATCATGGAGCCGATGGCGGTCACGATGAAGACGCTCAGCGTCCACACCATGACGTTGCAGAAGGCCAGGATGCGCTCGAACCACTGGCAGTGCCACGACGTGAACAGGAGGAGGTCGTTGCTCGTCGCACCCAGGGACCAGCGCCGACGCTGCGACAGGAACACGCTCCACGAGTGGGGGACGTCGGTGTAGGCGCGGGCCCATAGAGCCTGACGGGTCTGGGCCTTGGGATGGGTGGTGAGCATGAGGCAGACCTGATCAGTCAGCATATGAATCACTTCTTTCCATAAAAGAAGAGAGGGGAAAAAAAAAAAGAAGGAACGAGGAGAGAGGAAAAGAGGAAGGAGAAGAAGAAGAGAGGAGAAGAAGAAGAGAGACATACATGGTTGCGATCCTCAGAAGCCGTGGCACGGATCTGCTTCAGCATGCCGTCGGTAGGAGCAGGATGGTAGCCAAACATCTCGCCGAGCACGAGGTCGCCGCAGGTGTAGTCGCAGATCTTGAGCAGCTGACAGCAGCCGGGCAGGCACGAGACCTTCTTGGTGACGACGGACTGGTGGAGGCGGCGCAGCCCCTGGGCGATGGAGTACTCGGCGTGCTGGTAGAGGGACCAGAGGTTCCAGCGGGAGCTCGTGAAGTCGACGGCGACGTAGCCGCACACGCCGACCGTGTCGGCGTACTTGGACTCCTTGAGCAGCTCGGCGATGCAGCCCTTGTCGAAGACGGTGTCGGCGTCCATGCCGACCAGGTGGTCGACCCTGTCCATGGCCACCTCGGCCTCGAGCCAGCCGGACATGGAGCCGAAGAAGGACCGGGAGAAGATCATGTCCGGGTACTCGCGGCGGTGGTTGTACTTGTAGAGGAAGGATCGGACCACGATCAGGCTGTCCCGCTTGCCCTGGTTCTGCTCCTTGACGATGCAGTAGTAGGGCACGCCCTTGTACAGGCCCCGGGCCACCTCGACGTGCATGCTGGTGCCGTCCCAGCCGCGGTAGGCGTCGCGGATGCGCTCGTGGCGGGCCTTGTGGGTGAAGATGTCCTCCATCAGGTACCCGGCCGTGGTCTTCTCCATGCCCGGCCCCTTGACGCGGCCGTCGCAGACGACCATGATGCAGCGCCGGTGGTCCTCTATGCCCACCTGGTCCACCAGGGAGTCGAGGGACCGGGTGCACTCGTCCAGCGTCTCGTTGTAGCACGGCATGATCATCACCAGGTCCTCCAGGTGGCCCGGCTCGATGACGCGCTCCGGCGAGACGGTGTTGCGCAGCTTGAACAGCAGGAGCGAGGCGATCATGATGCAGTTCAGAGCCAGGGGGAACGAGATGAAGGGCAGGTACGCGTAGTAGTACCGCGGCCAGTACCAGCAGGCGAAGATGAAGAAGGCGTTGATGCCGACCAGACCCAGCGTCACGCCGTACTTCTGCGCCGTGAGCTTGCGCCTGGCGTACCTGATCTCGGCATCGGTCGTCGCCCTCTTCTGGCTGGTCACGTGGACCTTGTTGGTGGGGATGAAACCTCCGTCAGTCACTCCTCGGGCTTGCTGCTGCTGCTGCTGCTGCTGCTGCTGAAAATGAGCCCGGGCCTGGGCCTGAGACTTTTCAAGAGCCGCGACGTGGGGTGCAGCAGGTGCAATCTCGTCATCCTGCTGCTGCTGCTGCTGCCGACGTTCAGCTGCCGATTGCGGTACGGTGGGACGTCTGACGGAACCCTCGGGGAGGACGATGTCTCTCGTCGGATCAGCCCGAGGCTTGAAGTAGTCTGACTGCTGCTGCTTCTGCTGCTGCTGCTGCTGCTGCGCGCTGCCGCTGGCGGCGTTCGAGGCTGCCGTCCCCGAGCTGGGGTTCGACGTCTCCCACGAGTCACCGCGCACCGAGGATTTGGCCGAGGCAGGGACGGAAGGCTGAGAGCTCTGAGAAGATTCCAGGGAGTCTTCGAAAGGCGTGAGGGCCGTGACATATCTCCCCAGAGAGCTCTCGTCGTCGGACTCGTTGGGGTTCCCCGACCATCCCGGCCGCGCACCGCCTAGATAGATCTTCTTGGGTGGCAGCGGCTGCGTCGCCGCGGATGATGGCTGGGAGAGCGTGGAATTAGTCACTTCGTCTTGGCTACAAGTGCGTGTGTGTGTGTGTGTACACATATGGATATATATATACACATGTAGATATATATATACACATGTAGATATATATATACATGTATACATACATACATACATACATACATACATACATATATATATATATATATATATATATATATATATATATTATAGGCGTGCAAAGACAACAGAAGAAGAAGAAGAAGGAATGATTACCTTTCCAAATTTGAGAGTCTCAAAAGACATAACCTCATTCTTGCTCTCTTGTCTCTCGTCGGCCACGGCCCCGCTGTCGAGACGTGATCCAGACATGATCAGGCCGTGTGAGGAGAGGTTGAAGGAGAGGATCGAGAAGGGAAAAGGGGGCCGTCAAATGAAGGTTTCAAACCAAGTCGGGAGAAGGCGTGGGCAGCAGCAACACGGAAGAAGGGGAGAGGGGGAGAGGGAGAGTGAGAGAAGATCCGATGCCTATTAAACAGAGGGCGCAAGCTCGAAGGATGAGAAGGAAAGGGGGAGGAAGAAGAGGGGAAAAAAAAGAGAGAGACACTATGAGATAGAAGGGTTCTGTCGTCAGAGCAAAAAAAAAAAAAGTATCATGAGAGAGGTGTTCTGGACTCTTCTCTCTCTCTCTCAGTGTTCAAGCCCTCGACGCCCGATGGCGGCAGATATAAACAATATATTACGAGTCCTGATCCATAGGAGGAGAGGTAGATCCGAGTAGACGGCCAGAAGGAGACAGAGAGACAGAGAGCGAGAGAGAGTCAAAAAGAAAAAAAGAAAAAAAAAAGAGAAAAAAAAGGAAAAAGGAAAAAGAAATTTATAAAAAAAAAGCAATTGGGATGTCTCTATTTCTTTCTTTTCCTTCTTTCTTTCCGTATTCCTTTTTTTTCGTTATACACACACCCCTTCCCTTACATGAACCTGTCATCTATTCGCCTCCCCCCCCCTTTTTTTTTCTTCTTCTCTCTCTCTCTCTCTCTCTCTCTCTTCTTTTCCTTGTTAGCCTTATAGAGCTGCTCATCATTCTCCGTACCTCTTCTGACGCTCGGACAGCACATGAACCCTAACCCGAGCCATGTGAAGGGAGTGGGGGGGGGGGGGGGGGGGGGGGGGGGGGGGGGGGGGAGGGGCATCACCACTTCTCCCTCTCCTTCTTCTTCTCCTCTCGCCCCTCCCACGTATTGCTCCGTATGACAGGATACGGCTTACCGTTGGTACTCGAAAAGGAAGAACCAAGGGTTGCATGTGGTACCTTGTGTGCGTTGCGTGTGTGCGTGTGTCCAATCCCCCTGTGTGGGTGGTGGGTACGATGCATGCATAGGATCGATTGATGGGGGAGGTTTTATTTTCTATCTCAATATTTTCATCTCTTTCAGGGGGGAGGAGGGGGTTAGTCTTTGTTAGGACGACATAGATTTATATTAATATAGATTTAGAATAATATAGGAATGAATTTAGCTGAATAGCCAGCTACGGCCACGACTACTATGACTATTACTACTATGGCTGTTGCTACTATGGCTATTACTATACATCTCCTTCTCCTTTTCACAAGATGAACGTATCTGCCAGATTGGATAGGATGCAGAGAGACGAACGAACAAAGAAAGGTCCGGAGGAAGAGAAAAGAAAACAAGAGGAAGAGAGATACGAGCTCTGAAAAAGACTAGAGAGAGAAAAAAAAAAAGAAAAAGGCTGGTCAACAAGTCATGATCCCGTAAAAGCGTGCGTCTCACCACACTCACCGCCGCCACACACGCACACGCACGCACACACATGGTAATACGTATATACATGTAATATGACCTAGCACACCAATACCCATGTAACGCGCAGACCCAGAACGGGTCTCGTCCTGAAAGTCTAGAGATTGGCGAAGAGGGAAATGGCTCTGCTCCTTACGGGGAAAGGCGAGATTCTCGGTCCTTCTTGTGCAATCACCTCTCTCTCTCTTCCCGTCCGTCCGTCCTCCGTACCCATGTCCATGGCCCATGTCCATGGCCCATGCCCACGCCCCATGCCCATGCCCATGCCCATGCCCCATAGCCAAGTCCATATCCATGTCCGACCGACGAGAGAGAGAGGGAGAGAGAGAGGCTCAAGTCGGCATAATGTACAGATGACTCCGTTACCCGCAACTAGTCCGATCTCTGGTCAGGTTTTGGTTGGTCGTAGATCCCCCACAAATCAGGTCCGACAGGGTTGAATCTACCCACCACCGAACGGACTGATACTTATTCCTCACTTCCTGGTACAGGTACATGCACATGGACTACGGAGTAGCAGGTACAGATCAGCAGTACGAGAGTACGAGAGGAGCGATGGCGGCGCTGCCAGCTACAAGAAGGGCCAGATACGTGGACCGGATCCAGAGTCCGGGTACGGAGTCCGGGTACAGCTGCTTACTCTGACCGTATCCGTATCCCGTACAGACTCCAGAGTCGTCTCACACACACACACACACACACACACACACACAGAGAGAGAGAGAGAGAGAGAGAGCTCCATCCTGAGCCGTCACGGTAACTCGTACCCAGCTCGTACATGCGTAATCTGTACCGATTCGTCTAGCCAGCACATGATACATAAATTACGCTTACTTATTACTCTACTTTTTTTTTAAAAAAAAAAAAGAAAAGAAAAAAGAAAAGAAAAAAGAAAAGAAAAAACTTGCCGGGTACTTTGCCGGGTACTTTCTCGTCGTCGTCGTCGTACGACGTATCGCAACTCTCGTACATGGGGAAGAACAAGACAAGAACCCTTTGACTGGGCCGACATGGCTATACATGTGTCATTACTCGGAAACTCGGTAACCAGCGCCCAATTCAGTTAGTTGTAGTAGCTGTCACTTTTTTTTTTTTCTTCTTCCTCTCTCTCTCTCTCTCTCTCTCTCTCCCTCTCTCCCTCTCTCTCTCCCCCCCTCTCTCGTCTCATCCCCTTCTTGACAGAACCCCCTACTTTTGGGACATCCCCTCTGCTGCAAGTATGATCCCTGCATATAGTATATTATATCATATACGTATACATGTATGATCCGTACCCTCATCTCCATGTTACCTCGCCTTCCTCTCCAACCGGGACCAGAGGTGCAAATTCAGCTCCCCGCGGCCTCTGCGTCAACGCGCGGCACCCAAGGCCTTGGCAGACGAGGGGGGCAAAAAAAAAAAAAAAAAGAGGAGAGAGAGGTGAAATGATAAAAGATGATAAAATAAAAGGCTCGTGTAAGTCTGTCTCGTGTTGGGAGATGCACAGGAAAGACTTGAGGGGGAAGCCATACACGTATGCGCGCCATTGGCACTCATGATGAAAATCACGCCAATGAGAGGTTAAATGTCATGATGAGTCTTGGACGGGATCGAAGCCATCTGTCTCTGCACTTTTTATGTTTATGTTTATTTTATATTTTTTATATTTTATATATATATATATATATTTAATTTCTGCTCCCCCCCTCCTCTCTCACACATAGACATATATACTCACGCAACACTCTCGCTCACTCTCTCCCCTCCCCTGAACTTCAAAAGAATTGTAAGCCACTGCCGCTGGTGAGGCGTTTTGTTCAGGTTCCGGAAACAACCCCCCCCCCCCCCCCCCCCCCCCCCCC